GTCTTAGTAGACGATGTAACTACAGAAGAGTCACGTTTTAAATAGGAAAAATATCGAAACTCTTTGGTCATTTTTGAGCGAGATGCTAACGGTCTAATCAGATTCAATTATCTATGCTAAGCTAAGCTAAAAGTGCTACCGCCAGACCCGGAGATCGGCTGAATGGATTCGAAAACGGTAAAACTCAACTGTTTAACTCTAGGGGAGTTGGAAAATTAGCCTATTTTCAAAAATAGTGGAGTGTTCCTTTAAGCTCAATCATCAGGCACCCCTTACCACAAATTTTAAAGCAAAAATCTGGGTTCCAGTGAGATACTTACAATGGAAATGCCTGTAAACGTTAGGTTATTATAGTTAACTAACAAATAAATAAATAAAATAAACTTTAAAATAAATGATAACTGAAATAAAAATCTAATATTTAAAAACTTATTTTATTTTAGCTAGCTGCCAACGCAAAATTTCATTCGTTTTTTTTCTTGACAAACTAAAATAACTAAAACTAAGGAAAAGATTAATAATACAGCTTTAAAATGTGTCCTGTTTGTTCAGCCAGCTTCATGCAACAGGCCACTGATCAGAATAAATATGTTGTTTCATTTTTACATAAATATTTCTGTTACACTGAATGATGGAACATTATTTCACCCATATTTTGACATTTTATTTTCACAAAAAATATTTGAAACATTAAAATGGGCAGTTTACTTGCATTTAATATGATTTCTGTGTATATAAAATCACTTTTGTAAATTTAATTTGATGCCAAAATGGAAGGTCTTGCCTTTGATCCGTAGACATATTTAAAAAAACATGAAAATGGGAAATATAAAAATTAATTTATGCAAATTATTAATGATTAATTTTGCAGTTTTTTGCATTCCATATATTCCATTTTAATATTCAAAGCTATATATTTTCCATGACAAACCACTTATAAAAATAATGAGAAAAATAACAAGAACAACTTAGTTTTAACAGTAAGTGTTTTATAAAATTATCAGCTTCATATTTCTGCTTTTAAATACTTCAAAAATTGGCCCCATTGACTTTCTCACCATACATGACCACCATAACCTTGCACTGAACCCAGAATATTCCTCTAAGGTAACATGACAACATTTAAGGTAAGTGAACAAAGCGAGAAGCTGATTCTCACTGGATTTTAAGGTGCACTGTGCGAATCTCTTGAGAGCGAACATTTGGAATGATGAACAGGAGATCAGACTGAGAAGCAATGGAGCTGATAGTAGCTAGTGCTCATTAGAAACCCTGCTATCTCATTAGGATGTGACGGAGCAGAGCTGACAGGAGCCACGGCCCTCTCCTAAACCATGAAGAGCACAGTGCAGGAGATGAGGATGAAGAGGGAGATTTAACAAAGCTGCTCACTCTTTCATCTAGCTTTCATCTGGACATAAGAGGAGAAGAACTGAAGGACACAGACGAAGGACACACTGTCGTGATGAGCGAAGCAGAAGTGTTTTAAAGGGGCTCATATAATGAAAATCTCATTTCCCTTGATCGTTTGAAACAAAACGGTTTCAGAACTCTGGGCCAAAAAACACCCTTTAATGATACAAAGCTCGTTCTGAGAGACTATCTATATAAAAGTCAGCAGACAGGGATAAAAACAAAAGAAAAGTCAGTCTTATGCTTTTAATAGCATTAGGCACCTGTAAAGAGTTACTATAATAGAGAGATATACTATAATATAATAGTCAGCAGAGAGAGAGAGATATTTTGCTCAGGCTACAGCTGCAGCATCTACCAGCAGGGGTTAATATCGGATACTTTTAGATTCTAATGCAAAAAAAAAAAAAAAAGCGAAAACATCACCTAAATTATGAAGAAATTACAAAATGATGTGTGATGCAGTAAAATTTATTAACTTTAAAAATGGACTTAAAAATATGAAACAATCTCTTTAATATACAAGAACAGGTTGAAAAGTGAAAACAATGATGACAGTATGTGACAGTTACACTATTAATTTAATTTAATTTCTAAAGCAAACTCCCTCAGAATATATTAATTAATTCCACTGTTCTGCATCTCTTCATCTCTTTCCTAATTATACCTCTAAGACACTTCATAATGAATGACTACAGCATGATATTAGATTCATGGTTCTTCTTTTTCCGTCTGTTTTCTGCTGTTTACAGGGCAGAGGACAGAGAGACACCGCGTGTGGAATGGTTTCAGGAGAAAACAGGTGAATTTGTCACGATTAGCATCAGACTGCAATATGGTGGAGGTGAGGCAGTGCACAACAAAACAGTGTGAAAAAAGTGTCACTTCAGATCTGAAAACAATACAGTTGCTTCTCGGTGCATTCAGATCTGTTTCCATGTGCTGCGAGACACTTTAGACACCTTACATGTTTTCACGTTATAGATTTGAAGTGCATCTGTTTGCTCAGTAAGATTCTGGTAATTGCTGTCTACTGTCTGCACAGGCAGCTGTCTACTAAGTGAACACCTTAATTGAAATAGAATCTCATAAGTGACTATAGAAATATCTATAAGGCAGCAACTCAAATAATTTATTTTGACAGAGTCTGATGTTAGCATGTTGCTAAGCTAACGATGTGAAACTTTAATAAACATTAAAATACAAAGAACTTGTTAGGTAAAATAGTCTATTTTTAATCAAACTGAACCATTTTATCAATACTTTTTAATGCTGGATGTTAGCATGTTGCTAAGCTAATGTGATACTTTAATATATAGATTCCACTAAAATCATCAATTTTTAAATTAGAGTGAATGAGTATTTTTATTCATCTGTACTTTTTTTTTTTTACTGAACTTGTTGCAAAGCATTCTGGGATTGCATTCTGCATGATGCTGCCTCAAGGCCCATTTACACCAAGGATGATAATTAGAACAAAAAAGTTTTCATAATAGTTCTAAGACTATGAGAATAACTCGTACCACACCACAGCTATAACGATAAAAACAAAGTTGGAATTCGATTGTTGTTAGAATGATGAACTGATGAACAAAAAAACATTGACAGCCAATCAGAATCCACCAATTTAAAGAGCTTGAGCATTTAAAGTGACAGACACAAAACTGACGTGCACAATTTTAAGAAACAGAATGGTATCATGTGTTTTTGTGACGCTACTATAGTTATCATTACAGTTAAAGGCAGGGTAGGTGGTTTGGTTTAAAAACATGTTTTGTTATGCTGGTTGAAAGTCTCTTCTCATCCCAATAGCCATCAAGTTAAGTGGTCTAAACGTATTTATATGTATTTATATTGTGTGTGGAAGGCGTATGAGCATAAAATGTTCATCCAATCATATTCCTCGGTCCGAGGGCTACGATAGGCTGTCCTGCCTGCCTGTCAACATATGTATCTGCATACCTCCGCGCACCCTGTTCGCTTTGGATAGTGATTTGCAGGGAGGGTGGGATCTTATGCTTTCAAAGCTAGCTTGCTATTGCTAGCCTCTCCGAAATCGCCTACCCTACCTTTAATGTGCTTGGTCAACGAGCCATTAGAATTTGGACCAAAGAAGATATATATACTCAACTAAGGGGCTCACTAGGTTTTGAACACAGCTTATTTATACAGTATGTGTGTGTATGGGTGCTAACCTCTTGGGTCCCTGTATGCTGATCATGCCCATGTCCTCAGTGTGGTCTATTAGTGTGCAGTGGAAACCCTGGTCCTGCAGCACTGCCTGAATATGGCTCCAGTTATGCTGCGCCACTCCACCTCCGATGGCCAGGTAATACGCCTCACCTTGAGAACATACACACACACTGAGCGTGAGGAGTACAGGTGCATCTCAATAAATTAGAATGTCGTGGAAAAGTTAATTTCTTGATGCCTTGACCCCAGCCTCAGTTCATTCCTTGTGAAGTTCACTCAAATTCTTGAATTGATTTTGCTTGACAATCCTCATAAGGCTGTGGTTCTCTCGGTTGGTTGTGCATCTTTTTCTTCCACAGTTTTTCCTTCCACTCAACTTTCTGTTAACATGCTTGTATACAGCACTCTGTGAACAGCCAGCTTCTTTGGCAATGAATGTTTGTGGCTTACCCTCCTTGTGAAGGGTGTCAATGATTGTCTTCTGGACAACTGTCAGATCAGCAGTCTTCCCTATGATTGTGTAGCCTAGTGAACCAAACTGAGAGATTATTTTGAAGGCTCAGGAAACCTTTGTAGGTGTTTTGAGTTGATTAGCTGATTGTCATGTCACCATATTCTAATTTGTTGGTGGGTTTTTGTTAAATGTGAGCCAAAATCATCACAATTAAAAGAACCAAAGACTTAAACTACTTCAGTCTGTGTGCATTGAATTTATTTAATACACGAGTTTCACAATTTGAGTTGAATTACTGAAATAAATTAACTTTTCCACGACATTCTAATTTATTGAGATGCACCTGTATATAAACTCCACACATCCTCCTCACATGCTGATGAGACACTCATGACTTCCTCTAACGTCCTGATTCAACACCTTACACATCCGTTCTGTGACCCTGAATAAAATAAATCACGTGTGCCGTTTACCATTAGATTCGGGTGTCAGTGGGAGGTGGGCGGGGCTTGGCTCCAAACGACTGACGGTGAGGTCAGACTCAACTCCGCCCCTCTTGTTTAACATGCAGGTGTAGACAGTGGAGCCTGAAGCACACAAACGGTCAAGATGATTACACTTCAACAAGGTTCACCACTGAAACTATGTGGTCAGATGACGCAATGAATTTCAATGAATACTGGATATTTGTGAAGAACAGAAAAAAGAAAGTAAAATGCATGCACTCAATATACTGGAAGGGAGATAAAATTGACATACAGACATCACAGGGATCCTCACCTGGAGCTTTGTTGACATCAGCTGTAAACAGCCAATCAGCTGCCTTCTTTGCATCCGGACCAGTCAGGTAAAACTTGCCAAAGTAGGACATATCAAACACAGCTACAGCATTCCTGCAGGTCAGACACTCGTCCCGAATCTGGAATTAAACAAAAATGTAAACATTTTTAAATACATTTTAAAAGCAAAACAACACAACACAAAACAAAAAATAAAATAAAATAATCAAATGCAGCTCAGCTATAGCATTCCAACAGGTAAGACTCATTCTGAATCCAAAATTAAATAAAAATATAAAAATAATTTTTAAAAACATTTTAAAAGCAAAACACACAGAAAGCCCCCTCAAAAAACAACAACCACAATACACAAAAACAAATCCAAATAGAAGAAAAAATAAACACAGCTACAGCATTCCAACAGGTCAGACATATTTTTAAACACCTTTTAAAAGCAAAACAAAACAAAACAAAACACAAACATACTGAATAAAACAAAATATCAAACACATCTAAAGCATTCCTACAGGTCAGACACTTGAACCAAATCTAGAATTAAATTTAAAAAAAAAAAATAATAATAATTTTTTTTTTTTTAAACAATAAACACACACACACACAGACACAGACACACAAACACACATACACACACACTGAAAACAAACCTGTTTAGCCATAAGAGAAGAACTTCATATGGACAAGGGAGGCTACAAACACTCTCAAACACACATGCTCACCACATCATGATGTGGAGGGAAGTCAAACGTGTACTCTTTGCCTAGTATCTCGCTGTATTTGTAATCAGTGTTCTTGGGAACATCGTAGGCACTGTAGTAATCATAATCCAGAATCTGAGAAAAGAACAATTGAAAATACCAGTTTAGCAGACAAATCAATCAATCAGCAACTGATACAGACCTCACTGGACTTGAAGTACTGTAACACATATAAACTATATGTGTTATAAAGAACACAGAACAATTTCTGTCCTTCAGAATTATGCATTTGTGTGTATGTGTGTGTGTGTGTGTGTCTGTGTGTGTGGAAATCTCACTGGAGCAGGTCCATCCCGGTTGAACCATCCAGGTCTCTCCCAACCGTGTCTCTCCTGAAACACACAGCCCTGTTCCTGTAGCACCTGTTAAACAACACAACCATCAGAAATCAGGCCAATAATAAACCTCAATCACTGTATAAAAATCATAATTAGGCCACAGCAATTAAGATGACCCAACTGACCCATTTTGGGCCAGTGCTACATTGCCACTTATGTTCATTAATCTGCGTTTTTCTGTGATGTATTTTACACTGTTGTTGCACTGATTTGTCACAAAAATAATGTTATCTAGATGGCTAACAGATGCTGAATTTGCGAAAAAGATTTGCAATAGTTTTGAAAGCATCAGTAAGATGT